CCGAAACCAGTAAATATTTGAAAGTGGTCTACGAGAAGAAGAGTTTGGGAACCTCTGATGTAAAGTAAAGAGCGCAATGGTTCTGGTAAATGAGTCAACGAAGGTATTTAGGCACTGACCTATAACACACAATCCTTGAGTCTCCTAAAGAGACTTTGACCCAATGTAATATTGACAGACCGTGTGCGGGTGTGTCAAATTTTTGAAAGAAAGCTACTTACAAAACCTTTAATAATTGAATCATGCATATGTATGAACCAGGGTTGTTGCGAATATTCGCATTCGCATTCGCAACCGCGGAGCTTCCGCATTAATTTTAACATTCGCTTTCGCATTCGCATTAATCAATGCGGATCTTTTGCGAATGCGAATATTGAAGGGACCGAAAATAACAGTTATTTTTTTTTACGAGTTAAACTTGGCCGAATAGTTTTTATTCCCAACTAAAAGTCCTTTCCGGATAATAATCAAACCGCTTATCCAAATTAAACAAGTTTGGTATAAAATGAAAGAGGACTTAAATAGCTTTAAAACTGAAATGTCTAAACGAGCAAAGCCACCTATTGAAAAATTTTCAATAAAAAATGTTAATTAATTACCATTAGAACAAACCTTGGGTCAGGTATATGAATTTCTTCTGTATTAAATGATATAAAAAAAATATAAGTAGACGTTCGTACGTTATTTCTGTTTAAAAGCTATTTCAGGCCTCATTCACATGATATAAAATTTGTTTAATTTTGATAAGCTGTTTGTTTATTATCCAAAATATTAGGCCAAGTTTAACTGGTAAAAAATAACTGTTATTTTCGGTCACTGGCACATTGTGCAAGTGCACTGATAAAACGTATATCTGGCCAGTCACAGAAGAAAGGATTAAAAATGAATTAATGAAGAATTTTTTGGAAAACAATGGTGTTTAAACAACGATCTTGCCATGATACTAGATTGTGGAGATGAAAAGAATTATCGCACCGCAATAAAAAAAAACAATAAACATAACTGAATGTCTTCTCGATTGGTGCGGCGTCAATCGAAAAGGATTTATAATTTTGTCAAGTTTCTAGTTTTTCAAGTTTGTCGCCTCGAGCGAGCAGTTATTTAGTGACCCTGATTTTCGACCCTTTAAAAACTTTTTATAAAACACAATGCTCCAATTTTAAAATTCAAGTACTAAAAAAACATTATAAAAATTACTAACCTATACATTTTTTATTTAACTAAATCACCTAATTTACTCACATAAATTATTTCTTAACAAGTAAAAGAGTCTAAGTTCAGGCGGAGCCGAACATTAAATACCCGGCGCAAGTATTCAATATAGTTTTTCACCGTTCCGAAAACTACCGCCACATGGTAAGCAGGGGTGGGGTTACCCCTATTTCAAACATCTTCGATAGAACGTTCAGTTAGATATAATGAGATAAACTTATATAGATATATGTGGGCGGCATCACGCCCATTTTCAAAAATTCAATAATAATGTTACTTTTTTTAAAGGGATTGTGTGGGTAAAATTTGCGTCCTTAAATTTCGAAATATCGAAGTTTCAAGCATTTCTGAAATTTACCGTTATGAAAAATTGGGCGTCATTTTAGTCCGATTTCGATGACTTTCAGCGTTTTGCCTTTATGTAGCAACCACAATAATCATACCGAGTTTGGTACACATTGATCGAACGGTTACCGAGATACACATAAGTGGGTCACGCCCATTTTCCAATATTTTATTATAAGCGTATTTTATGCTAAAGAATTATTATAAGCATCAATCTTGAATGAATTAGCTCCAGTATTTACTGATTTATCGAAGCTTTCGTATTTCTCTGAATTACCGTTATATGGGATGTGGGCACGGGTATTATCAGATTTTTTAAATTTTCAGCCGTTTGGTATTTTCTGTGAAGGCCAACTGTCTCAAGTTTGGGAGAAATTGGCGAAGCGGTTCCCAAGGTATACACATGTAATCATAAGTGGGCGTGGATACGCCCATTTTCCAAAAATTTATAACATTCTTATTTTTCGCCTAAAAAGGATTGTAAATATCAATTTTGAGTGAATAAGCTTCAGTAGTTACTAAAATATCGCAGTTTTCGTATTTCTGAAAACTACCGTTGCATGGGAGGTAGGCGTGGTTATCGTCCGATTTTGCCTATTTTCAATAACATCCGTCCTACGCTCAAAAGAAGTACACATACATATTCGTTAAGATATCTCAATTTGTATTCGAGTTATCGTGTGCAAAGACGGACGGACGGACGGACAGACAGTCACCGCTTAATCGATTTCTCTTTTCATTCTGACCATTTATGTATAGATTTGTCTATATCTATTCCGATTCGTTTTGCCTGTTACAAACAACCGTTATGTGAACAAAGTTATAATACCCTTGTGCACAAGTGCGCTCGGGTATAAAAATACTTGACATCCGCATTCGCATCCGCATCCGCGGATGTTAGCGTTTAAACATCCGCATCCGCATTCGCATCCGCGGATGTCTAAAATTCCACATTCGCAACATCCCTGGTATGAACATATACACATTTCCCGGAGTAAGTTCCCTGAAGTGAATAGCCAAAAATGTCAGTACCAGTTCATTAACTATTAGAACTGCCTCAAAGCTCATGAAGTTTTCCGGGTACATATTTTATATAAATCAGTATTTTCGATCGGAAAACTCTGTTTCTCTTTAGGAGACTTCTAATAACCATACCCAGTTGTTTATTTAACAGTTTTTTAATATTAACAATTTTTATTTTGTATTAAAAAATGGTATAATATACAATTTGCTATTATTATGGGAAGTCTCGTGAAACAAAGTTTTCCGATCGAAAAATATTGAATTTCAAGACTTCTATACCCGTTCTACGAAAAAGTGGTATTTCCTTATATAAAATACATATGTACATTAGAGGTTTACGCCGATAGGCTTTGCGGCGGCGGCGTGGTTAACTTTAAAAATAATCGGCGGCGGCGGCGACGCCGTTGCGTCTGGAAACGCCGGCGCTACTGCCCATAAGGTAGATTCCAAAGAGCCATGAACCTACCAATCTTATCATGTCATCTCGTCAGCGTTAGGCATTCGCCATGCCAATTCAGATTATAATTCTATTTATTTCATTATTGATTTAGTTTTAAATTTAAATATAGTTACTTCTTACTTGAAATGAAATGTTGAGTGCCTGGCGCTGATGGATCCGTATGTACTATTTAAATTTAAAGAAATAAAAAAATTAAAAAGTTAAGTTATTTGAGTAATTTATGTCGCTATTACCCTGTGGGGAAAATCTCTAGTTCTGAACTGGGGCGCTTCTAGTATATTTAGACCCAGTACTGGTTCGCGATAAATCTCTTTTGCATGCAAGCAACTGGCGAATTTAACATGGCAACGTACTAGGAAGTGTCAATTGCCCCCCACTGCATCCCTTTTTCGATAGTTCCGAACTAGTCCTAAATTCTATAGTTCCGAACCAGTTCTGTAATCGACAGACGAAAGAAAAAAATATCATGATTTTTCATTTTTTTTGGTTCTTCCGTGTGTGCGATTTTAAGTTATTTTGGAAGAAATGTGTTTTCAATTTGAAATTAAATTTGTTTGAATGATTGTAAGAAATGTACGTTTACATACCTTTAGCTGTAGCTGAGATTGCAGAGGTTTGTTAACACAAATTTTAGTTTTGTATTACCAAGCTATGAAGAAGCATCTGCGAAGCGTAGAATAGAAGCATATTTGAACGAAAAACCCGCCGAACACATATCTATGTAAAGTAAACAAGCCCCCCGCTGCATCCCTTGTTCGATAGTTCCGAATTAGTTCTAAATTCGACAAATAAGATCTAGTTCGTTCTGCATACCTTTTTCTATAGTTCCGAACCATTTCTAAGTTCGTCACGTTAGATATCGATTTCTAGTGAAAAAACTGAAATAAATTAGTTTTTTAAAAGTACCACTTTTCTCCGATTTTGGACTGGTGGGTATTTAGTTCATATCGGACTAGTTCGTTTTTGGGAATAAAGACCTAGTACGGAACTAGAAATTTGATTCACTAGTCCGCGGTTTCCCTGCAGGGTAATAAATGTTTGTAATAATCTTATCTACCGTTATGTTAAATTACGGAGTTCTTACGATTTTTGCGGGTTATAGATTGAAAACTAGGGAGGTCTACAATTTTCCAACAGTTTTACACATCAACTCCAAGCAGAACAGGCCTTTTTGGCCCACCGTTTAAAAATGGCTTACAGCTGGTTAAAATTTTCACTAAAATATTAAGCGCCAAATTTTCCTAAGGATAACCGAAAGTAATGAAAAATACTACTAATTTCCACCAAGAAGGGGAACTTTAACCCTGTGTAGAAAACATTGCGATGCGATGGAGCAAAACCTTCCTGGGGTTTGACCACCACTTGTGAATGCTAACATAATTTTCACACAGCCACCTAGTACTTGTATACGTCTGTGGGACCAGAACAAAATAACTTACTTATTTAAAATCTGTTTAAAGAATATACAACTCTTTATTAAAGAAACCATACACAAGAATATCAATTTGTTTTCGTTTTATCTCCGATAATTGAGGGGTTAGATGCAATAAGGGAACTTCTGTTAAAACTGCTTTCTGGACATTAGCGTTAAAGTTTTTGGTGTGTGATAACTTTCTTGTTCTGACAAACCCCCCCACCACTAGTGCATACATACTAGCGCAATTCGATATGCATTCGCCTACTACTGCAAGCTAACCACCTATGAATTTCAGCAGGGAATTTGTAACCGCAATCATACTCACACATACACATACCACATAAGTACCACATACCACATAAGTATATACACACAGACAGTTATTCTCATTTTATTTTTATTTTGTTTAACGCTTTATGAATGTACGTAAATACATGCGTACACACGCACACACCTACCTACACATACATACATACGCCCGTTAACAAATTGGAAATGATCACTCCCTCCGATCTAACCCTGTTGCATGGTGGCTTTCAAAAGGAGGTAAAACAAACTCCAGAATCAAACGCTGTCGTTGAAGTGCCCAGCGAGAAAGTCGAAATAGAAGACTGCTCGGATGACAGCGAGCAAAATGGCGTTACAGCTGTAGTACAGTTGACAGCCAAAAGATCAAAGGAGGCAGCAGAGGAGACTGAAACCAAAGTAGAGGTTACTGCAGAAAAAGTCGAGGTCGAAAGCGATGAAGAAGAGGAAGACGAAAGCGACAGCAGCGATGTGGCGGAAACGTTAGAAATAATTAAGAAGCCTAAATCAGCTGCTGATGTTGAAGAAAGCAAAAAGCAATCTTCGATTCCAAATTACAATCAAAACGATAACTCAATAGGAATAATAGTAACCACAACGCCGCCCACGCCGACAACTACGACTCCAACTGTGGCCGAAGTGACAGAGCAGCAGCAAGAGAAGGGCATGAAAGAAAGTCGGGTGATTGAGGTAGACGCCGAACAAAAAGAAATAGCTGAGAAAGGTAAAGGTGGCGGCGTGGTAGCACAAGTGACAAATGAAATCAAAAAGGAACAAGTAACCGTCGATAGTGATGAAGCAGAAATTAAAGTAATAATAACTCGCTTAAGCAGTTATCTTAAAAACATATATTATAAAAATGCATTTTTATTTCTTTATATTTTTAATACTTAAATCAAATTGAAAACGGATTGTACAATAGCCACAACAAAGCGAAAATGCAGTGGAACTGGCAGCACTGCAAGCGGAAATATCGACAACTCAGGTGGAAACGACGCAGACGCCAATCAAGGCAGCGGAACCTAAACAGCAGCCACAGGCTCAGCTAGAGGTACGTATGTATGACTATCACTAACCATTTCCTTCCAATGTTTTACTTAAGGCCGGGTGTCGCAAAGAACAGATACAGGAGCAGAACTCAGTACATTTGCAACAGCAACAGAAACACGAACAGAATTCACTACATTTGCAACAGCAACAGAATCATAATTCCGCGATTCTGAAACAAGAAACAGAACAAATACTTTGGACTTGTCTCTGTTGCTGGTGGCAAAAGAAATGTGAATATTTTACATTCGAGTTCATTTCTTTATTGTTGGTTTTATTTGTGCTTTGGGGATTATTGTTCCGAAAGTCAATAAAACAAAATTTCATCCATAAGGCGAAGAAAAAGTGACAGAATTCGTTAACTCGAACGAAATGCTATACCATGTTTCTGAAGTTGAGTGAAACAGAAAAAAGTTGACAGAATCAATATTTTGGATCCTGTTCCTTTTCTTTGCCACACAAGGCTTTTACAGACAGACATACATAAATATACAGATTTAACTATTTATGCACCTAGTCTTGAATTGGTCCGATTGTCTGTGCTGTTACCAGGTTAAAAATTACCTACTCTGTATCTAGTTATGATAGAAAATGCTATTGAAGCTCTGGTTAGAAAGATACTCTTCTGCAGCAAGTCTTTGCAGGACTCATCAAATATTAAATCTGGACGTTTCGACTTTATTGCAACGCTGTAAGGTGTCTTTTTTAAGAACTGTCGACGGATCTTTTCTGGATCGAACGCCAACGTTAGGTTAGATAAAGCAGGGCCAGCCATATGGCCACACATAAACATCATACGTCGGTAGTGTTACCACATTTGTGCACCACCCTTGAACTCCTCACGAAGTTTGGCAGTGTTGAAGGCCCCTGTCGTTTTTTTTTTACAAACTGTAATACACAACTAGGCTCTGTATCAATCGCCGACCGCAGGACCTGTAGCTTATCTTCGCCGAACAACATGACTTTTTCTTGTCGAACGCTTAGCAGAGTAAGTCCTTCACTGTTTATATTTGAGAGTTTTACATTCCCTGCGCTTATCTTCCTCTACAAGATTTAGCTTTAAAGCGTGCGCCGATAGCAGACTGGGTGCCGTCAGCTGTGCTCCCAAAACGGCCTAGAAGCCTTCGCCTTCAGGGATTCTAGGAGGATAGTGAGTTTACTATCATCAGACTGAAACATCATTTTTGTAAATTCTTTGCCCTGCGTGTGGTTCTACGCAATGTCAGCTTACTAATAGCGCTCTTACACGATATGTATTTGCATATGTAAATGCTACTTTTCTGGTACGTTCCAATATATGGTACATACGAGTAGATACAAAAAAGTAGCATTTACATATGCAAATACATAGCGTGTAAGAGCGCTGTAATACGAGACCGAACTTAACAGTTATTGATGAAAATTGCCATCGAAAAATTCACTATGAACGAAATTTTTGGCGTTGCATTATGCGACGAACTGCCAAAAAACTGAATAAGGAAATATAAAACAAAACAAAATCTCACATCAGGCTTAAGTTGACGTGTTGAGTAATCACTGATAATTTATTGCGGTAAGTTAAGTCTAGATTAATTCACCGTTTATAATGACAGAGACTTGTTGTGCACAGTAGTGAGTTTTTGAGGTCATTATGAGCCCCTATCGAGGTGACTTAGTCCATTACAGCAGGCTTCTAGGGATTAAGAAAAGGTCTTGTAATCTCCATTACCCCTTTTTCAGATCCCCTTCTATCCTTCTGACTACGTCAGCAGAGTACTTATAGGCATGCTACGACTTAGAAAATGGGCCGTATGCATAAAAACTAAGCAATTGCCTTTTCTTAACATTTCATACCTTTCACTTAAATTTATTTGAACAAATTGAGCAAAAGGGCTGACATTTTAAGAAAACGCATTTGCTAAGCTTTTACGCATACGGCCCAATATGTCTGGCTTATGAAGTTATCCTTTGAATACAAATAGATTTTTTTGCTCTCTTTTCGTAGACATCATTCCTAAATCTTACACTTCTGAGACCTGCACAATATTAACTCTAGTTAGTACCTTATATAATCTAGCAGTCTCTTTTTACGAACTACTCATAAACTACTAAAAGAAATTTTTTTTACAAATTATCTTAGGATTCCCCTGCAGTGGGTTTCACCTAGTGTACCCTAGTTCTTCCTTAGAGGAACGTTCTAACGTTTGCTTAAAATGGTTGGTCCGCAGTGTTATAAATTGGACTTTGGCAACTTTTGATTGTCACACTTTGGCAATTTTTTTTAGAATTTCTACAATTTGTTTGTGCTAAGTTAATGAATTTTAAATAATCATTAAAACAGGTAAATTCGAATGACACCATTAAGGATATCAAATCCGATATTAGCTCAAACATAGAACAGGAAAATATTGCTACCCTTAAGCGCCAGCAAAAAGAGTTGCTAGAAAAGCAACAAGAATTGGCTCAACAAATACGCCAGCAACAACTGATTGCTCAACAATTGGCATGCGAAAACCGTTTGCATCAACAACAATTAGAACAACAGAAACAGCAACAACAGTCACAGCAAGAAATACCAAGAATACAAACTCCATACAAACACCAACCAACACTAACACCCTACCAGCCACAAGAAAATATTTCGAAATATTCGACAATCGAGGAAACGAAGGACGAACACGGTTTCACACGCAAAACGGAAACTTACGAGTCCAAGGTACATGACTTTTGACCACAGTATTTTACTGGTGTATATAAATATATATGTAATATGTAAGTACATGGGGAGATTTTTTTTAATGTAAATTTTATTAGAAATGTTAAAATATAGCTATTAAAAATGTATAATAATTTACATCTTTCATTTTTCTCTTTTTAACCGACTTCAAAAAAGGGGGGAGGTTATCCATTCATCGGAATATTTTTTTTATGTATGTTACCGCATTACTTTGGACCACATTAACCGATTTCGATATCCCTTTTTCTGGTGCCTCAGCAGAGGTCCCATACTAATTTGTTTTAGATCCGATAATTGGATCATGAAGAAATTAACGGTACTTCTAAATTTTTATATGAGAATTGAAGTCGGTTGTGTTTTTTGCTTAAAAATTACTTGTTATTGTAACTATTGAGTAGTACCGAGCTCTACAGAGAAATTTATAATGCATAAAGTTGATAATGAACTTACTGAAGAGTTAAAATACAAATTGGTTAGTTGCCTTAATTTCATGCAAATTTTAAAATGCGACTTCGTCTTTACACCAAAATTTTATTTTTTTCATTATTTTTAGTCGACTTCAAAAAAAGGATTATCTATTCGTTGGAATATTTTTTTTAATGTACATATGTTACCGCATAACCGATTTCGATAATTCCTTTTTAAAGGAAAGGTTGCACCTCAGAGGTGGTGCCATCCTAATTAGGTTCAGATCCGATTATTGGATCAGAAAGAAATTAACGGTAGACTGAAAAAAAAAAATGGAATTTTTTTATTTGAGTACCGTTTAAAAATGTTCGTATTTAAATCAAGTGAAAAGTCCTAAAAAAATGGATTTTTCCATATACATACACTACGTATAATGGAAATATTCAATTCAAATACGCCCGTGTTAAAATGAAGCATTTTTCACTGCACTAGTCAGGAAAAATACTGGTTTACAACTAGAATTTCCTGACAGAAACCGAATTAGTTCGAAAATGAACAGACTTGTACCAAGTACAAAACTACATATTTATTCATGCCCTCTTTTATTTGACTTCAACAGTTTAATACAATAAAGTACACAAAATATTATAACTTTTATTTGAGTAAACCATTAAATCGAATACGTATTCAATTATACCTACGGTGACCATAAATAAATATTTACGTAGTATAAAAATATCAAATGAGTATCTATGACTCTAAATCCTTAATATATTTTAAATTAAAAATGAATCACGTTTTCTTCTTCGATATTAATCTTTTTTTACATGAATATTTATAAAAGTATTTTTATTTGACTTCAACAGTTTAATACAATAAAGTACACAAAATATTATAACTTTTATTTGAGTAAACCATTAAATCGAATACGTATTCAATTATACCTACGGTGACCATAAATAAATATTTACGTAGTATAAAAATATCAAATGAGTATCTATGACTCTAAATCCTTAATATATTTTAAATTAAAAATGAATCACGTTTTCTTCTTCGATATTAATCTTTTTTTACATGAATATTTATAAAAGTATAGTAAAACATATTATAATTACAATAGCTTACACGAAAAGTGAAAATCTTTAAAAGATTATTTTATAGGCAAATTTTGAGTCGTTCAAAACGAAAACAATACCCTTTTTTTGTTTTGTGGTACTTTTAGCAGTTATTTGTCAAAAATCGACGTCATGAATCGACGCAAACGACGAATTACAAAGTGCCCTTTACAAAAATATATAATTGGTGCAGATTTGTGCTCCATAGCATTCTACATTTCTAATCCGATTTTCATTATCTTTGGCTCAAAATTTACTGTAATGATATATCTTCTTTATCGAATTTTTAAAATAATGAAAAAAATAATCAAATTAAACTGCGTATTTGATTGAAAATCTCACTTTTTTCGACTTTGGGCGTGTGTGAATCGGTAACAAAGTTCTATGGGGAAAGCTGTTGAATAATACTTTTAGTATGGTGAGACAGTTTTGCCAATCTGCTGTGTGAAATTAAATATTTTTTGACAGCAGTAAATTTTTGATAACCGCAGCTTTATGCGGAATAAAATATTACAAATTTAAGTGAAATTAATATTTTAAGAAAACATCTACCATCGTTGATTGCAATTCATCAATTTAAGCTTTTATTTAACGAAAAATTACACACATCAACAATCTTTGCTATTATCAAAATTTTCTATGCATTTGTTAAAAAATTCAAAGCTACTGAAATTTTATTCACCTCATAGTTGCCAAAAATTTACTAGCCGCGAACTTTATTACCGATTCACACACGCTCTTTGACGACAAAATGCAAATGGTCGCGTGTAGTACTAATAATTTTCATTGAAGTCGCCACAAGTTATATATTTTGGTAAGAGGCACATCAATACCCTTCGAGCTGTAAGTCGCTTACGTTGATTGGGAGATCTTTTCATGAGATATTAGCTGCATTTTTTTGTAAACGAGCGACAAAAGAACCCTCAACTCGGGTAAAATTTCCTTTTAGGTACTTAAGCAACCCTGCCGGTAGCTGGCAAGAAACATGTGATTAGGTCAACGGGATGTAGACACAAAAAACAATAGAAATTAGTAATTATGCGAGGTATTTACGTAATATATATACTTATTTAAAATATATATCATGTATATACGAAAATAAAAATTTCCCCCTCCACTTTCCCACTAACAATTCACAATATAGCAGTTTTTTCACTTAACAACACTACTCTTCAGGTCGCGTATGTTTTAACCGACCTGACTGAACTCGGATAAATAGCCGAGTTTGTGTTGTTGCTTTGCGTGTATTTCGTTATTTAAGCGAGTGTTCTTTTGTAGCTCGGTTGCAAAAGAAGCAAAAGCTACGAAAAGTACCAAAAAGCACTTTTTTGAAAAAATTCATCCAGTGTCCGATAATTTTAAAATAACGAATAAAATGCGGGCCAAGTGCAGGACACTTGGAAAAAATCAGTACATTTTCAGGTATTTCAGGTTTGAAAAACTACGCAGGACCGACCTTTGAAAAACAGTACGGTCCTGCAAAAAACAGAACGGATGGTCACCGTAATTATACCAGTCCTGTTAAATAATGATTAAAATTCATAATTATTATTAATTACTGCATGATTTTGGATAACCGTTTAATGTTTAAATACCGATATTAGCATATTTTTAATGATTAATAATTAATTACTGAAAAAATGTTAATTAATTCATTAATTTTAATTACATCATTATTTTGTTATTTTTTATCATTTACAATTATTTTTGACTTTTTTTTAATTACACGATTAATATAATTATTTCATCAATTTCTATTATCAATCAACAAGCCAAACTATAGACAAAAATTAAGAATATTTAGTACCTGCCTAATTATTNAATGTTAATTAATTCATTAATTTTAATTACATCATTATTTTGTTATTTTTTATCATTTACAATTATTTTTGACTTTTTTTTAATTACACGATTAATATAATTATTTCATCAATTTCTATTATCAATCAACAAGCCAAACTATAGACAAAAATTAAGAATATTTAGTACCTGCCTAATTATTATTATTTATTTTATTCTTATCCAAATCTCAAATTTTAAACATTAATTATTACTTTTATAAAATTTAAATAAATAGACTGAAATGTGCAAAGTTAATGAATTTAATTTTTTTTAGTGAAAACTGTTATTTTTTTAAGTTCACTCATAAATGAACTAAAGTATTCACTTTAGTTTTAACTAAAATGTTATCTTTTGCATATTCAATATAATTAAAAATGATAAAAATATAGTATTTATTGTACTTTTAATAACATTTAATGGAAAATGCATTTAAATTTATGTTCGAAAGTTTGAAATATATATGTATTTATTTTTCCCTTTAATTAATACTAAATAAATTTAACACTAATTATTGGCAAATCTAAGGCTGCTAAATAAAAACGTGTAATATTTTAAAGCGTACTTAATCAAAAGTTCTTTATTGTATATTCATGAATTCATTTTATTTTTTGACTCCTAAACTAGTGGTTTTGGTCCATAATGGGACTAGTGTTTTCTGTATATTTTGAACTATTATGAGACTGGTATATTTCTGACCGAAATCTGACAATTTGCTATTTCGTAGGACATCCCCATGTTAGAAATACCAGTTGATTGCATGGAAAAAAGATAGTTGGCTGACTAGTTGGGCATGCGGGTCATACTTTAATTAATTAAGTAAGTATATGTAACCTGCAGGGAAAGCTACCAGTTGTGAACCAGAATGCTACCAGTTTGCGTTGCAGCCCAACTAGTTCACGTTGTATCCCTTTTCAATGTTAGCCACTGGTATTTTTAACATGGCGGTGTCATAAGAGATGTCAATTGTCCGCTCCTGCAATAGCACGCTACCAGTAGAAATACTAGTAGCATCATACCAGTTGACGGGATAGACTGCCTATTCATCCCCCGTGAAAAGCATAAGTACGTCATTTTTCTCGAGCCGCTGCAACAGTGGCAATGGTCGACAGAGTAAAGCTTTGGCACGCCAAATCAAGAGATCCGAGTTCGAATCTCAGTGAGCGAACCTTTTATTATTATTTTATTATTTTTTATTATTATTATTTTTTTCATTTATATCTCGTGTGTAATTTTTAAATTTATTGTTTTAAAAAGAACGAAAAATTATTTCTTTTAATTTTTTATGGTATTTGAGTATTTTGGTTTTTACCAAATCAAATTAAATTTATGTACAATTTTTATTTTATATTTAAATTGAAATAATCAATTAAATTAATTTACTTACTTTACTTTAACAACCTCCAAGTGTACTCGAACCTGAGATCTCAGAACCCGAATCGGTAGTCTTCACTCGACGCCACAGCCGACATTTGCGATGAAAGCGACCCTGCCGGCAAAGCTACTGGTTGTGAACTAGAATTCTACCAGTTTGCGTTTCAGCCCAACTAGTTCACGGTCTATCCTTTTTCAATGTTAGCGACTGGTATTTTTAACATTGCGATGTCCTACGAGATG